TAATAATATGGTGAAAACATAACTTTGGAAAATTGATTAAAAAAATTTTTGTTTACGGTTAAATAAATCAATTACCCCTGTTGATTTTTCACTGTGTGACTGTACAAACAGCAGCCCGTACAGGTGACTGAGAGGAGAAGAGGTCGGGGTCTGGTACCTCAGAATCTGACTCGATCCAATGGAGGTTCTGATCCAGTTTGGATGGCAAACAGATTTAAAATGCCTCACTGTGGATGAAATCCTGATTATATCGTGAAGCAGAATCAGGACTGAAAGTTCTGTTTCTGGTCCAGAGATCAGAGGAGCGGACACTGACCCAGAACCGGGCCGAACCAGTTCTACTGGTCGGACCTGTAATACTGCGGTCTGTCCAGCAGAGGTCAGGCTGTTATCACTTCACACTGCCTGCTTCTGCAGAAACGGAAACACTCTGCTGCGGTTCCGATTGGATCAGAACCTGACTGGGTCAGGGGCAGAACCATAAAGGAATCCAACTGGACCAGAACCATTCACTATCCAGGAGAGAACAAGTGAAGTCATGAACCACTGAAAAGTTTAAACTTAAGAAAGTTCAAACTTTTTTAAGTTTAAACTTTTTTTTTTCAGCAGAAAACCCAAAACATCTGGAAATACAGAAGATAGAAAACATCTGTATGACTTCAGAAAGGTTCTGCTGGTTCTGACTCCAGACCAGCTGGAGCCTGGGTCTCTCCTCGCATTCTGAGCCGTATGAATAGACCTTTGTTGGTTGCTAGGAGCGATTTTCATCAGGCTGCAGCATGGAGACAAGTACCCCACTGTCTGCAAGCTGTCGTCGTCGCTGCTGCTGCCTCCTCCTCCTCCTTTTCTTCTTCATCCTCCTTCTCCATCTTCGGCCTCCTCTTCATTCTCTGACCGGCCTGGCCTAGATGTTTGAATCTCCTCCTCAGCTCATAAAGAAGCACTCCAGAATGTTTGAGGTGCAAACAACACCTGGACCGAAGCTGATGTCCTGATATCTAATGACATGAACCGTGCAGCAGGTTCTCCACTGGACCTTCAGAACCGGGTGGATCAGACCATTGGTCCAAATCCGCCCAGGAAGGTTCCCTGTGATTGGTGGAAGGGTCTCTGTGATTGGTGGAAGGGTCTCTGTGATTGGTGGAAGGGTCTCTGTGATTGGTGGAAGGGTCTCTGTGATTGGTGGAAGGGTCTCTGCACTGTAAAAAAGAAAACGTAGATTTTACGGTAAAATGCCGGCAGCCGGGATTGCCGAAATTTCACCGTAAAACAAAAAAAAAAACATTTTACCCGTAATTATTTTTTACAGTTGAATTTTGGCAACCCTGGCTGCCAGCATTTTACCATAAAACAAACAAACAAAAAAAGATTTTACCTCAATGTCATAATGGAGTCTAATTTCTTAACCCACATGCAGAACACCAGGCAGAGAACAGAAATCGGTTAAATAAGTTCATTGTAAACACAAAATAATGATCAACAATTGGGATCTAGGGAAAGTCTGCAATCTGGATCACCGGAGCACTGGAGTGTAAAAAAAGAGGGATGGTGAGTTCAGGGATTGTGGAAAACGGCAGTGTCAGATTAAACAGACTGGTCTTACTTGGGTGGAGGTAGGTCTTGTCCTGCCAAAAGATTCACTCTGGTTATTGGGGTTTGGTTCAAGTGGAGGGTTGCTGCTTCACTGACGAAGAGGCTGCGGTGGAGGGCGGACAGGTAAGTTTTGGATCACAGGAGGTGAGGAGCGAGTGAGACTGACGACAGGGTATCCAAAGAGTTTTGGTTTACTGCGGAGGTGTCAGTGGAAATCTGGCAACCAGTGGGTCCACAGCGTCACGAAGAATAACCTGAGGAAGAAGCACAAAGAGACATCACTAGAGGTCCACAACAGGAGATCACAATGAGAAGCATGGAGGGCTGGAGTACCAATTACTGGCTAACACTCTGGATCTGAAGTGTCGGCAGCTCCGTTCTCATATACTCCTCCAGATGATCTGATTAATTGCAGTTGTGCAGGAATCGAGGAACCACCAGCAACGCCCTCAGGAGGGAACAGCCTCTTGGCACCCTCTGGTGGTAAAAGAGGGGGAAAGCAGCAAAAAGGAACCATTCCAACAACCCGGGTTCCCAACACTGTAAATTGTTTTTACAGTGGAATTTCGCCAACCCCAGCTGCCGGCGTTTTACCGTAAAATCTATGGGGGTTTTTTACATTGTGGGGTTGCCATAATTCCACCGTAAAATTACAGTAAAATACTGACTGTCAGTATTTTATCGTGTTTTATAAAATACGGTAAATGTCTGTCAACTACAGCTGCCAATATTCTACCGTATTTCCTAAAATACGGTAAGATACCGGCAGCTGTGGTTTTCCCTTAGTAAAATTTGCCATATCCTTTTGGTAAATTAAAGATGCTGACGGAAGTGAAACATTAGGTGGCATCGCCCTTTACCCAACTTCCCCTTCGCCCAAGCAGCAGGGCCTACCATACAGTCCTCTAAATGTGACAAATCTATGGTCAATTTGTCTCTCATAAAGATGGTGGCATCGGTTGTAGGAGTTCGCCCTGCAATCGGTGGACTGCCAGTTTGATACCTGGTCCTCCTTTAAGATTTCAGTTTGATATATCAAAGTCTTTATAGATTTAGTTATTAAAAAACAAGCCAAAGTATCACACCACCATTCTATGTACTTTCACCATATTGTTTCAAACGTAAAATTTAATTCGCAAACTAAATATATATTATGGAAAATAATAATTTTCCATAATAATGGAAAATTATTTCCATTATTTATGATGGTTTTACATTCATATCTATAGATATGAACATCAGCCAGGGGAGCTGTGGTGTTGCAGCGGTGAAGCACAACCCCACACATTGAGGCCTTAGTCCTCATGCTGGTGGTCACAGGTACAAATCCCAGCCTGGTGACATTTGCCACATGTCTTCCTCCTCTCTCATAACCGTCCTTCCTGTCAAACTAAAGGCCACTAGAGCCAACAAAACCTTTAAAAAGAAACATCAGCAAAATTTGGAATTTTGGCTGATTAATATATGTTTATGAAGTTATTATAATTCCATGTATTTTCTACAGTAATTAAGTGTTTTTTATATTACAGTCAGCAACCGTATGTGGTGATCTGTGTTTTCTGTGTATTTATTTAGTGCTGTTCCCCTGTGAGTCTCTGTGCCGTCCTGTCCTGATTGTTCCCAGGTGTGTCTCGTTCCCTGATTACCCTCCTTGTATTTGAACCCACCTGTTGTCTTTGGGGTCCTCGTCGTGTCATGCCGTTCAGCCTGTTTCCCTGTGCCTCCCCTGTTGGACTCTTTATTTTTGGATTCTTCATTAAATCATTGTTTTTCATCTACATCCTGGGTCTGCCTGCGTTTATCCTCACCCTCTACTTCCACAAATCATGACACCGTAACTATTTTACTTTTTCTTTTTTTTTTGCGCCGTAAATTTACGGACTTATTTTTGCAGTGTTGACTGACGGTGATTCCATGTATTTTCTACTGTAATAAAATGTTTCGGATTTTACGGTCAAACTTTTGCATTTTTACCATTTCTTACCGTGAAATTTACGGACTTTTTTACAACATGTGATTGGTGGAAGGGACTCTGGTTGCGGAAGGGTTTCTGTGATTGTCCCAGCTCTATTTAACAGCCAAATGCGGGACTTATGGCAACACTATTAATGCAGAGCTCATTTGTTTAGCGTTAGCAGAGACAAGATTCCTGCTTGGTGGATTAGTGGTTAGTGAACCAAACTTTTTGGTTAGCTGTGTCCGCCACTGGCAATAACTGCTGCCAATTTTAAGCCCTGCAGGGTCCGGCACGGAACAGCAAGACACGGGTTCAAAGTAGGGCCGACCGTTCTTGCATCAGAACTTCCGACCCGGTTCAACCCGGTGTTCTATCAGACGGCCATACACTGTCAGGATGGCCTACATGCAGTGAGTACCATGCCCGCGCATGCGCATTAAGAAGTCCGACGTCAGTGGAGTTGTCAGTTCAGCATACGCAACAAGTTATGACGAAAATAAGTAATTAAATTGTCTATAATATCACATAATATGATAACTAGATAGATATACATGCGTTGTCGTGGTTTCAAAGTGTATTTAAAGCAGGTCTGGCTGCAGCTGCAGTCAACTACAACACACGCCCGTGTAAAACTCATTAACTTGCTTAACCGCTAAGTCAGGATGCCATACAACTGTTAATAACAAAGTGTATGACGATCTACGTCATGATTCTATGTTGTTGATTAAATGAAATCTTATGGTAATGACGTGTCTGACAGATACTGCCGGTGTTCTATCAGATTACCATACGCTGTCAGAATAGCATACATGCAGTGAGTACCATGCCAGCGCATTAAGTCCGACCGTCAGTGTAGTTGTCAGTATACGCAACAAGTTATGACGAAAATAAGTAATTAAATTGTTTATAATATGACATAATGTGATAACTAGATGGATATACATGCGTTGTCGTGGTTTCAAAGTGTGTTTAAAGCAGGTCTGGCTGCAGCTGGATGCCATACAACTATTATTAACCAAGTGTATGATGATCTACGTCATGATTCTATGTTGCTGATTAAATAAAATCATATGGTAATGACTGCTTATACATGTCAAAGCTAAGCGTAGGACTATCTGACAATGTAGGCTGATCTGACAGAACACCGGCTCCTTGTGTAGCCGGGGCATGGGGCCCCTGAATGTGCTGCTGCGCCTCTTCCTCTTGTCCATATATGGAAGATGCTGTGACAGAGTGCAGCTGGCTTGTTAGGGAGACAGGTAATCAGTATTTGCATTTAAAAGCGGGTAGATCCCTGAGATGATCAGATGCAGGCTGAGGACTTGTGCACAGGTATGTTTAACATCAATCATGAAGTGAGTTTAGAATTTGTCAGATTCCGCCACTGATTGTTGTAGGAAACGCACTTTAGAGAGTGACGTCAAGAGCAACATTTACTGGTTTCACTTTAGAGAAGGTAAGGGTTTCTCATGATTTATCTGGCTGGTTAATGTTCTTGTCTAACTTGATTTCTTTTGTGTGTAGGTTGGCCTGCTACTGTTTCAGTTTTTGATTTGTTTTGATTTCAATTTTTCTTTTGTTTCAGTGTACTTATTTTTAGATGTTTATTGTTGATTAAAAATAACTTTTCTTTTTTGGTGGTTTTGTTTAGGGAAAGGGAGTTTCTGCTGCAGCCCTCTGGCTAGTTTTAAACTGGTCCTATGCTGTCCCTGGGACCTATGCTGTCCCTGGGTCCTATGCTGTCCCTGGGTCCTATGCTGTCCCTGGGTCCTATGCTGTCCCTGGGTCCTATGCTGTCCCCGGGACCTATGCTGTCCCTGGGTCCTAGGCTGTTTTACTCAGACTGAGACTAGTGGGAGGGGAGTTTTTTTTCTTTCTTTGTATTCACTAGGGATTTTTGTGTGAGTGTGCTTTTGTTGGGGAACACTTAAGTGCATTTAGTTGTATTTGTGTTTATTATTATTCCTCCCCCAAACAGTCAAATTTTTATCTAATTGGGTTTTAATTATTTTTCAGCTTTAAGGATCCCAGGGCCAGCGTAGACTCCCACTTTTAGTGTGGTCACTTGGTATAATAAAATAAATTGACTATTTTTGCTCATGAAACATTTGTGAATTCAATAAACTGTTTGTAATCTGCAGCAGTGCCTCTGTCCATTTTTACAAACTTATCTGTGTGATCTGGTAAAAAGAGGATCTAAAGCTGTACCCAAGGTCACACTTGGAACCACAAGAGCTGTGGTTCCAATCGGGGCTGCTTTGAATTCAGCAGCTGATTGTTTTGCAGTCAGCCGTTGATCGGGTCCAGCTGGCTCTCACTAAACTGTTACTACTGTATTTTGTAAAGAGTGCTCTTTTTAATTTAAAATGAATTCCTCCCAATATTCTGCTGTTACCTGGTCCCATGATGAGGTCATTTACTCGCTGATCGAGTACAGAACAAACTGATCGGTCAGCGAGGAAAGAGTTTTCCGCTGCATCTGAGGAAAAGGCTATGGCCGCTGCATGGAAACCGTTTAGATTCAAACATAATGACGTCACAGCGTCGATGCCGGACTCTGCAGTGCGAAAAGGGCTTCAGTTCACACATATATATTCTCCATTACATCGCGGTGGCCATTTTGGAAAATGTCTGCCAGAAAAATTAATGTTCAGTTCGTCTGAACATCGAATCCAAGCTGTAGATCCATTCTTCATAGAATCCACAGCTGAGCCGGTCAACAGGTTGGGGAGGGGGGAGCGTTGGTTCATTTTGGGTTCCAACAGTTTTCTTCTGTCTTCCAGAAATCGTACAGCATCGACCATGAGCCTCTGTCCAGACAGCCGGAAGCAAAGAACGGGAAGCAGCCGAATGGCAGAGGTAAGGCTGCCCCTTTCGGGTCACCAGAACCCGGGTCAGAACAGAATGAAGCAGACATGTTCAGCGCCACCTTCAGGCCCAGTTTAAAACGTACAACAGAACCCCAGAGGTTCTGATGGCGAAAAAGTCCGAGCTGAGGAACCGAAACCCAGTCAAGGTTCTGGTGGTTGCCAACCCATTGAGGAAAAATCAGTTCTGTTGGTTCTGGACCAAACCAGAACCAGCAGAACTTACATTTGTCTTTATTTGGTTGTAACATCAGAACTTCATATAAGAAAACCCAAAGAGGTTCTGATCTGGTTTAATCCTTCAGACTGATGGTTCTGATCCAGAACTGGTGACATCACAGCCGTGAACCCAGGTGTGTTCAAGTACCTGCTGCTCCAGCTCCCTCTGTCCTGGCTACCTTTAGAGGCTTTTATTTTGGAAGGCTCCGGCAGACAGGTCTGCAGCTTGTTGAGTCATTTTCATGGAAGTAAGAAGATTTTCCCAACATTCTTAGGAGAAAACCCAGAAGGTTTGCAGTTCTAAGGCCCGGTCCAAATCCTCTCCCTCCCTCGCTCATGTTGAAGGTTAAAGGTCGCAGTGTGATCCACCTTCGCCCATTTTGGGTTCCATTTCCACATGTATTATTACCACTTTTTCACATGTAGCATCAGATGTTTTTATTTATATATGCCATATTGTCCTTAACTTGATCTTTGTTAGCTCAACTTTATACCAAACTAACTTTTAGCTGCATAAAACAGATGGTTAAAAAAACCATGTCTCTATTAGTCAAATAGAGATAAATTGATTATTAGAACATTTTAATGTGGTTTTTTTTTTTTTTTGCCATCTTGGAAATATGGCGAAGTTCACAGAGCGAGCTGTCTGTCTGGGACTCAGCCTTACTTCCTACCATGTTTGGTTCCTATTCAGAGGTTCTGCTGTGCTGCAGCTCAGTCCGGTCCAGTACCGAGTCTCAGGGATGCTTGTTGTCTCCATGGAAACCTTCAACATGGTGCCAGCAGGGAAAAGATCAGTTCTGAGAAGATCTGGATGGTGGTCTGCTTCCCAAGGCTCTAAGCAGCTCTGGGATTATAAAGTACTGCTGGTTTTGGATCCATCAGGAAAACAGAACCTCACTGCAGGAGAACATCTGGACCTGCTTCAGACACGGAGGAGAAGGAAGGAGATCCACATGGATTCTGGATCAGAACCGGGTTCTTGTAGCAGCTGGTTAGCTTGAGCGCCCTCATCTGGCTGCAGCCAGAACTGCTGTTGAGTTTTCTGTTTCATCATAAGCTGCTGGGAGGAGAGCAGCGTGGGAAAACCTGAGGAGGAGGATCATGTGACCCAGCACAACTGAAGAGGAGGAGCAGAGTGCTGCTGCAGAGAGCATGAAGATTACCAGAGACACAGCGGGACCAGAACCCATCAGAACCGGGTCCATGGAGAAGAGGAGAGCCAGCAGCAGAGAGGCAATGGTGAAGTCCGGTAAGACTCACCCTCCTCTTCCTCAGGTGCTCCATGTTGGGTCCCTGAGTTCTGGTTATGTTTGGTTTTCTGGAACCAGAACCAAGGCCGGTTCTTTTCCCCTGCAGGAACAGAACCGAAATGTTCATATGTGGTCTTCACAGCAAACATCTGCATCAGGTTCCAATGCAGAAAGTCCTTCAAGACTCGAGTCGGAACCTGGAGGTGCAGAACCAGGAGGAATCAGTGGGAACCAAGAGAATCGGGTTCCTTCTGATTCTCCTGGTTCATAAAGAACCTGATTCCCAGCCAACATCAGTACTGTTGGCTGCTGACATGCAGATTAACCGTCTCATTTCTTGAGACTATCAATGTCCTTAAAGGGCCAGTACAACATCACCAAACTGTTTTACAGCTTTCGCTGCGTTCAGTGAATGATTAAATAATATACTGCTCAAAAAAATAAAGGGAACATTTCACTTTAATTTTGTGTGTGGCTCCAAATCCAGGCCTCCATTGGTTAATAAATTTGATTTCCATTGATGATTTTGTTGTTGGCACATTCAACTTTGTACAGAAAGTATTCAATGAGAATATTTCATTCATTCAGATCTAGGATGTGTTATTTGAGTGTTCCCTTTATTTTTTTGAGCAGTGTATATAGCAACATTTCGCAGTGATGTAATTTAGCACAAAACAAATAAAGACCTCTGGAATCTGAAGGGCCACAGAAACGGCTACGGCGGGCCGGATGTGGCCTGCCAACCTCGAGTTTGGCACCTGTGAACTAGGAGGTTCTGTTAAGGTTCTATAGGTCTGATGGAGTAGGAACCTGCAGGCGTCGTGATGTTTGGGTGGTTCTGGTTTGGTCGGGTTCTGTGGGTTGCGTTTTGCCCTGAGCGCCGTCTGCAGGTGTTCAGACCCGCAGTAGTCTGAACGTCTCCTTCAGAAACATCAATGGACCTGGAGGATCCGGTTCCGGCTTGGACCGATTCGGAGCGGACCCGATCATCTCACAGCAGCAGAACCATCTGAGCTGGGCTGATGCGGTTCTGAAACACAGAACCTGACAGAGTTCCCATTGTACCACCATATATGGATCCGCTCTGATCAGAACATTCTTCCTGAACCCATCCGGAACCAGAACCTCTGCTGAACTGGACCTGATCCTCGTTAAATCAGAGCTGGACACCGGTCTCCATCTCCGAGCGGAGCTGCATGTTGGGTCTGATTTTCTGAAATATGAAGCGAGCGCGTCGCTCTCTGGTTGCAGCTTTGTTTCAGGACAACGGAGGAAATCTGACCCGGGACTCCCAGAATATCTGAGGACCAGGATCGGGTCCCTGAGGAGCGCCATGTCCTCTGGGACACAGAGACAATTTTATTTTTTGTAATTTTGTTAATTTACCAAATAAAGGGAATCTGAAGAAAAAGACCAAAGGAACCATCTGCTAAAAAACCCCACAAGAACTATGGAAATAAAATATAACTTGATATGATTAATATAAAATATTACATATTTCTGATAAAAAGACAAGATTGTGAGGGAAAATCGTATTGTTTGGTAATAAAGTGATGTATCATCTGATCAATTTACCGCGGTGTGAAGCAGCATTTATGCTAAGTGAATGTAATAATTGTTGAAAAGTTAAACATTCTAAAGTTGATATTTCTGTAGCATTGCCTGTAGGTCAGAGGTCACTGCCCTTCGGGGTCACGGTAGAGAGAGCCTGTGTCTTCAGAGACAGATGTCCAGCTGCTGTAACCTCAGCGTGTCTCTGTGTCCTCAGCTTCGGCATACTCTAACCTGCAGCCGCATCGCCCCGGTGATGTCCACAGGAGGTCGTCCCCGGCGTCCAGCTGCGTCCCCCCGCCTGACTACATGGACGGAGACGAGGACGAGGACCTGATCAAACCCAAGAAGCTGCTGAATCCTGTCAAGGCGTCCAGGAGCCACCAGGAGCTGCACAGGGAGCTGCTGAGCAGCTGCAGACGGTGAGACATGTCCGTCCTCACGGGGACAGCGGGGACTGGGGGACGAGGGGACGGGGGGGACAGTCAGCAGCACAGACTGCATTATATTAATGACAATTATTACACTATATTAAATGAAATTACATTACATTAGATAATATTACATTACTTTAAATTACAGGGTTTCCCCCAGAAAACTTGCTAAGCCCGGTGGTCGGGGCGTTGAGTCGGTCCACCGGCGGACCGCCGTGTTTTTGTATTAAAAGATGTTAAGTTGACAGGAAATGTAAAAGTATTACTGTGTAATTA